AGGCAGAATTAGTACCTAATCCTGCCACTACAACTAAAATGGCCCTAAAAAGTCGGAAAAAAAGGTGTTTGAAACCATTTTAGTCTAAGAAAATTTCTAGGAAGTACTCTGAATCGGCGAGTAACAGCGTAACTCAAGACGGAGTGTTTGCAGCTTTCATAAAAGTAATTTTATATAGTTGTTAAGATTAACCGCAATTTCGATATGATGTAAAACGCGTATAGTTAATAGTATCGACAAAACTTAGCCCGAACTACGGTGATCATGAAAAAGTGATAAAAAGTTGCTCACTGGGATATAGTAGAATTCGCCAGAGTTTGCTGTGGCTACGAAGAGTTCTCCTGTGGCGGAGAGGAAGATTTCCAGACCGTTTCCAGCAACAGAAAGCATTCGAAGAAGACAGCCACGTTGTGGTTTCGATGACGAAGACTGGAAAGAAAGTGAATCGAAGTAGATCCAGAAGAAGAAAGTCAAGCCTTGAACACCTGGATAAAGTGATGCGCTGTCCGTGTTGGCTGCCTGGTCCTGATCGCTATCCGATCCAAGAGTCTTGGGAATGAATTCGCTGAGTCGCTTCCTACCGGCGAAAGATGTACACTCATCACTATGTTTTGAGAAAGGCGTAGTCGTTACCTAAGTTGAGAACACGGGCCAAATACTCTGCGCTTTTTAATCAACCAAATTGTACTCAATATACTTAACTTCATCTGGTTGCGTTCATAAAGCTCCAACTCACCATCATTCATATGCTCACAACGCTACATAAAGACAAACGTTGGTTTAATTGAGTCAAGTTACTTGAATTTTCGTGCAACATAAATAAGCCTACATTTAATATATCCAATATCATCTATTTCAAAACCTAACAGTCAGCTATCATTCTGATGGGGCGTGTATGACTTAAGGCCACGCAATATTTCTCGACAAAACATTGACTCAATAATTTTAAGGCCATACTAACGTAAACTAAAAAGGTGCATTTATTTCGGATGATACCGGGTTATAAACGCATTGTTCTGAGCTAAAGTTTAGCAAAAATGATTGACACAAAAGCTTGTTTGATGGAATTATAATGCCACTAAAGAGAGATCACAGAGACACGAAAAGGTTGGACGTACATGACAGAATGGTCATCGGCCTCCACCGAGGGAACAATGAGGAGGCTATCAGTGGGGCTTTCGAATTCAAACCAGGAGAAAAGTCCGTTCGGTTGACCCAAAACTGGAGATTTCGTCGGTCGAATTATGCTTGTTAGGGTCTGAACAGAATTGATCGGATTTCGTACTCCTTTATTTCAAGACATAATGTTTGATAAGCTTTTGCACTTTTTTGAAGGAGCTCAGGAAAATAGTACTCTAGCCAAAGATAACTACTGAATACTCTTGATGCTGGATGCATGCAAAATCTCGGAAACCAGATGTCACTGCTGGCATGTTCTTGTCCTGCTAAAGTCATCCTTTTAACTTGCCACAAGCAAAAAAATTTGTTTAAAACTGCACAAAAGAGGAATTCGTAAACTGAGTTAAAAATTTGCCGACTTTAGCCGGTTTAAATGGATGAATCTGTGCATAAATTAACTACGAAAATGTTCGTTTTCTTTTCTCGTGCATGTCTTCTTCCTGCACAAAACTCATCCCACTCCAATAAACTTAGAAAGTGGTTGCCAAAGCAAACTGGAATTCATCAAAAAACTTTGTTTACATGACACATTTGAATAAAATTACCAAGAAGAGGAGAACTAAGACAATGAGTTCACCCTCGGATGAGACATGGTTCCAACCAGATGACTGCGTTGATAGTGGAAGGGGATAATAGTTCGTGACCTTTTGTATCACTTCCAAATTGATCAAATGCTTTGACTCAGATTTCTTGCATAATTTAGACACACTTGTGGAGGATGACACCCACTGTCTAAGGAAAAGTGCTTGTGTTATTATTGCTTACAGCCAAATTTTTATTGTATAGGGAACGAATTGACAGTTGTTAAAATGCAGAGCCGTCACGCATTCATCATCTGACTAAACGCTCATAAATTAGAGTTTGGGAATGTCTCTCCACTTTGCGTAGCCAACGAATCTACGGTTGCTAGAAAATTGTTTAGCAAATCCAACGTTTTAAAAGCGAGAAGAAATTCGGCCATCCCTTCGATATGCAACGTTTCGTCAGACAGACCATTATCGGTGACCCTTAGTTGGGTTTTATTGCAGATTTTATTCAATTTACGTAGCACAAAATAAATCGGCAACTCTCCTACTCAAAGGTGAAACTCAAGCGAGCCACTGGTTAGGCCCGCAGACGGGAAAATTGCGAAGATGCACTCTGATATCACTGTTATGGTGAATTCAATCATGGTTCTCAGTACCACGCAATTGACAGAGGTGACTTGGTAGGAAAACATTTCCGCCTGCGCACTGGAACAATATAAGAGGCACATGGCTGATAGAGTAAATGTGCATTGCATACAAAGCAAAAATTCCCTCAAAATTATTCTCTCAATGATACGATGGGAGCAAATTTCGCGCTCAGGCAATATTAAAAGCAAATAATCACCTTTAAACATAATAGGGATTCAGTATTTCCAGCCAACAATCTAAATCCATTGCAGGTATGGGCAGCTAGGTAGATGAGGCTCTGCCCCGAAAACAGAGCTAGAAATTGTATACGTACGAAGATTACACTTGAAAGACACTCTTGTAAGGAGAAACCCAAAGACAGCGCTATTAAACTCTTACTCGAAGCAATGTGGCAGTCTTGTTTTTCATGCTGTCCTGCCGCAGTAACGAAAGGATAGAAGCAACATCTTCCAGGGGAGCAGAATGTAGACCGACAGTTTTGAGAAGGAGTAGGAGGTAATCGATCAACTGACTAATCGTTCTCTTGAAATCGTGATTTGGATCATCATTCGTCTGCAAATACAAGTCCATAAAGGGCATAAAATGCTTTAAATCCACTTGAATGTTTGCACGTTTGCAAAAGCGGAACTTTGAGATCAGGTATTTCGCAAAGCAATTAAATATTTACTTACTCCAGTTAGTATTTAGCTTAAAATTCAGAACAAGTAGATACGTTTTGCACTGGAACTTAATTGACTAGAGATCTCAAGCCCACCAATTCCACAGAGCTTTCAATCGAAGTAAAGTTTACAAACACTTTCACTGAATGGATAGGTGAAAGCAGGCATTTTTGACATGCAATGACACTAGTATGCTATTCTTTGTTGATTATTCGACTTGTCAGTCCGCACTAAGCGATAAAGGTGTGTAACCGCAAGACGACGAGCAGGGTTTTTGATAACTCTTTCTCAGTGTTTATTTGAGGGCTAAAACTTTCAAAAACGCAAAATGCATTCAAAGCCGTGCCGAAGTTGGTCTATATTTGAGGACTTGTAAACCGATGCACTGCAAATACGCGAGACCAAAGCAGAGTACGCGGTTAGTTTGACTTGAGCCAATAATTGGAAGGTGGACTAATTGTCGACGTAACTGCCGGATGCGAGCACAAACATATGCATTTATTCACATTGACTAACACAATCGACGAAACACGAGGTACGAAACAGAAAGCATGCTAAACTACATTTAGCTACATTTCAGACCTAAATGAACCCACCTCATGGGTTGAAACAGTGTCATTGTTGCGAGAAATGCTCCCCCTAGTGGCCACCTCAAAATTTTCAGAGCAAACTTTAAGTCACTGCCACAGATGGTGATAAGTCTAACAGTTGCTGTTCTCAAAAAAAGATCTTAAAATTAGTGGTTACAATTAAGTAGTCGATGAAACCTACTACTGCAAAGGGCATTTCATTGACGACCTCATCCCATCTCAAGAATGCTCGCAGGAGGTAGGGCGTAATGACGCAGTGTATGAAGCCGCTATTGGAGGCCTCGTTTAGGCTTTTTCTGCCGCTACTATTTTCTTGAGAGAGAGTTTCTTGGGCAATCTCAAAGCACGCAAAAGCCTCGCTGATACCCTGTGGCATGTCTGAGAGTGCTAGCTCACATGCTAGCGATACGAAGAGACCGAAGGCATCACCATCGATAAGTGTCTGTAAAGTTGATGCCTTTGGAAGACCGTTACCGTCCCAGTTGACGTCGTGAAACCAGGGCATGATTGCAGATCCATCGGCCTAAGTAAGAGCTCATTATCATTTTATGAAACAGCCCAACACATGCAATCAACTAATACATACTCACCGATTTTTCAAGTATTAATAAAATTTACTCTTAATTTGAGGCATTTGAGATAAGGAATTACACTGTTTCCGTAATTATAGCACTTTCGACAAGGATTCGATGCAGTAAGAGTTTGTCATGAGGTGTGGCAATCGAACTTTCTCGG